GTGTGTGTGTGTGTGTGTGTGTGTGTGTGTGTGTGTGTGTGTGTGTGCGTGTGTGTGTAAAAGTCTGTGTGTATCTGTGAGTGCATATGCATGAGTGTATATGTGTGTATGTAATGTACTTTGAGTGTTTTGAACAGTACAGACACTTGTCTACAGAAAAGCCCTGATGGCTGCAAAAACTTAAACAAACAAGTATGAGCTGTTCGTCCTGTGCATGAACTTAACCCTAAACAATTATTAGCAGGTTATATTTCAGTTAACGCACATAAATTCCACTACACAATGTCACATTAAAAGTAAAAAAATCTGGCTTGACATTTTATGCCAATCTGACTTTCTTAGGAATTACAACTTTACTTACTTTCTTAGGAATGCACCTAAAGCAGGTTTGTGGAGGTCTGAAGGTGGTATCTCACAGAGCTGGGACTGTTAAAAGTCTAGTTGGGGGGTGTCCCTCAAAATTTTCATTGACAAATCCTGAAGTTGATCACAGATTTTAAGTATGTTCTCATGACCACTTTGTACCAGCTCATAACAAAAACTCAAGAGGAAACAAATACAAAAATAAACCATGGCAGCTGTAATGGGAATTAAAAGCATGGCCTGAAAATCATGGATTGACTGAACGCCCAGGTAATGGTAAACGTACTGTACTTATATAGTGCCTTTCTATCTTATCAAGAGACTCAAAGTGTTTTACACTACAATCTGGATAACCTAAAAATAAACAGTTCTTAATTAAAGCCATCACGACTACTCCAGTTGCAGTATAAATTAATTTTACATGACATATTTTGTGATGTACGTGTATCTGTGTGGATGACACAGTCAAGTGTTTGTGTCACTGAGCTAAAACTCAGTGGCGCACTTGAATGTGTCATGGAATGAGGTGGAAAATTTTTGTCTACTCGTCTCCACTGACAGAACTTGTGCCTAGTATTACAAACTGCAACACTTTTCTGCTGCAGGTAAGATATTTATTACTTATAACAATTCCACAACACACCCCTTTGCAAAAATTGAACGTGTCTCTTTAATGATAAAAGGAGGGGCAGTCGGTGGGACGAATATGACTGAAACAAATACTATCAGCTCTCTAAATACTAATATATATGTAATTTATACAAAGTAT